TAAAACCGTAAGTTCGTATGCAGCCACCTGTGCAATTGTATTGATCCACTTTTAAATAGCTTGTCAAAACGAATGCTGATCAGAAATTACTACTGAAAGCCTGGGAAAGCTTTGTTACTGTTCGCAAACCCGTTATGGTAAACAAGACTGCAATTGCTTTATCTCATTGGTATGACCGTGAAATGGTTGAAGAAGAAGCATTTTTAGAATGGTTTCAAACACTTGAGAAAGCTAGTGCGCTGGAAAAGAAAAGCTTCAAGTTCATCGAGTGGCTGAATGAATCAGACAGTGAAGAAGACGAAGAATAAAAAATAATACCATTGTATGTTGTTGATTACATAGTTTTGTTTGCACAGACGAACTGTTATTATTATTATTACAACATTATTTATTGCTCGTTATTAGGTTTGGCGCCACCCATAGCTTCTTGGGCCCTATTTTTTTTTGAAAATAAATCTTTTTAGTTGCATAGTTCAAAATGTTCTGAATGTCACCTACAATCTTCTCATTTCAGGGTCATTCATCATTTCTTCGATATTGGGTGTTTCTCCATTACCACCACCCATCATTTGTTGGGCCCTACATGTGTGCATGCGTTAGTCTAAACAAATAGTGTCATAACTCTTAAAATACTTTACATTCGAGTAATATTAGGGTTGCTCATCAAATTGTTTAGAGCGCCTGATTGCATCATTTGTTCCGCCATTCTCATCAAACCAGGATTTCCAAGCAAAGAGCTAAGATCGGGCATACCACCAGCGCCACCAAAGTTAGGCATCCCACCATTGTTAGATTCAGGAACAGCACGTTCAACACTGCCAGAGCCCAACTTGGATTTAGCAGTAGCTAAAGAATTTTGAAGAGTAGCATTATTGGGATCAAGTTCCAAGCCGTTTTCGTACGCCTTGACAGCATCTTGATACTTATTTAAACAGAAATAAGCGTGGCTATTATGAACATGATCAGGGTAAATACATCATTTAGTATGAAATAGATACAATAACACTAACCCCATACGACTATAAGCTTTACTATACTTGGGATCGACTTCAATGGCCTTTTTAGCATCATCGACAGCCTTTTGGTGATCACCTTGTTGACTATAAGCGGCAGCACTAAAATGTCATGAGTATATGCATAACTCGACATGTCCCTCTTTCTCAGCCCGTTTATTCTCTTACCGGTTAGCATAGTATACAGCATTACTACCATTAAGAGCAATCGCCTCAGTGTAAAACTTGATGGCTTCAGGGTAATTACGTTCTGCAACCTTACGGTTACCCGCAGCCTTCTTCTGCTCAGCAGCTTCCTTGTCTTCTTCACTAATTGACGTCTGTTTCAAATATGTGTTAGTGTTCAATCTTGTGCAGCTTCTACAAAATATTTACATCTATCAAACAGAAGAAATTCATGTGAGACACTTTGTTGTACATGCACTGTTACAAATAACAATAACAAAAACTTACTTTCAACCTTGGGGGCAGTAGAAGCAGCGGATGCAGCAGCAGGTGACTGAGAACAACGCGTCAGATATGTAGCTAGTGTTTGATCTTGATTTTCCATTTTATTTACCTTGGTAGACTTTTTTGTGTTAAGATAAACATCGAAAATGGAAAGCAAATTAGCAGGCTTAGTGGTATAGAGCTCCTTTTGTGCTTCATCAGCAACATCTACACCAAAAGCTTCGCCAATACATTGCATGGCAACTAAAACAATGTTATTTTCGACTTTCTCTCATTTACAAATGAATAAGTTATTAAATTTACCTTCAATACCCTCAGAGTCATCCTTGCTGATGGTTCCATCTTGGCAAGATTTCTGCAAGAATTCCAGGATAGAATAGACAAGAGCCTTCTTATTTTCAGTAGCAACCATTTTATCTCAGTATTATACTAACAAAAGGAGTAAGAAAAAGAGATTGTGCCCAAAAAGTGCCAGAAAATTCTTTTTTGATATTATTATTCAATATTTTAAATGTCCACCTGATGTGAAAACTGCCAGTATTGCTGTTGACTATACATTGTAAGCTTTGCCAAAGAAAAATGACACAACAGTTTGCTGTGCTGATTTCAAAAGAACTTCAATAGTTGAAGCAAGCATACACGAAATAGGATCTTGAACTTCATACTAACTAGATCAGCAGCAGCAGTAGCAGCAGTGGTAGTAGTAGTAGTGGTAGTATATTAGTACAATAGCAATTAGAATGAAGCGGCGATGAGTATTTGCAGATCTTGTTCAAATACGCACATAATCAACTATCTTTGTAAATCATATTTGGGGGCTGAAAAAATCAAGCTATAAACCTATGATGCTGTAAATGATTTCGAATAAAATATATGCTCATGTGGTCGCAAGGATTGGATGATGGCATCAATACAGTGATACTTTATTTATTCAAACAGGAACTAAATTTGCTACTAACCGAAATAGCTGTTATCTTTATTCTGATACCATTGAATCAAGTTTTTTTTGCAAATATTCAAAAACAGTAATTTGTAAGATTTTATTGGCTAAGATAAAGACTTTTTTTTTATATTGTATGTATGAAATTTTGATAGCAATGTTAAACTAAAAAAAAACAAAAAAACTATAAAAAGTCTCCTCAACTTTTCTTTTTTGTTTTACCTTTTTTTCTCTCAATTTTCATCATATAATAAAATGTGTAAACAACAAGCTGGGAAAGGATCAATCTTTGTATCTGGAGCTGACGGTGATAAAGGCGTAGCAATTGTTCAACAACTGTTGCAACTACCTGCACAGCACAAACATTTGTGTCCTCAACATGTCTATGCTGGTTTACCTGATGCCACTACGCCTCGAGCTAAATCAATCAAAGGCTTAGGTGCTCAAGTAATCGCATTTGATATATTTAATGACCATGAAGCTGCTGTAGAGGCTCTTACTGACATCACCAAGCTTTGCTTATTGATTGATCCACTGAGCGAAAGGATGCAACGATCAAACGCCTATTCGTACGGCAAAGCGTAAGCCCTTTATTTGTTTTTGTTTATCATTGATAATTAACTCTGGAGCTCTTAGTTTTATCGATGCTGCGAAGGAAGCTCATGTAGAACATATCATATTTTTAACACCTTTCACACCACTTGATGCTGTTAGCCCACCTGCTTCTCCTAACAGTGAGCAACAGGCTACTCCCGCACCCGTCAGTTATGGCTCTTACCGATCTCAATTTATGCTTATTGAGTCTTACTTGCACTCACAGTTTGATAATAATCGCATTACTATTTTGAGGTATCCCGGCGTACTGCACCAACATTTGCTCGTTTTTAGCAAATACATCGCTCAACACAATGCTTTCCCATTACCTGATAAGCATTTGGAAATTACAGTTGAATCTTGCAACATGTATGACATTGCGCGAGCAACGGCTTGTGTTGCTCATTCGCCAACTTTGCGTCATAGTAGAAATGCCTACAAGATTTCATCTAGTTTATTGACTCTGGAGGAAATGGGCCAACGTGTTCTTTCTGGTTTGCAAAGAGAAAACACTATTAATCGCATGGATAGCGCTACTTTGCAGCAAATTATCTGTGATAGCATTGGAAATGAAGACCAAGCTATCTTTTTAATGGAAATGTGGGGCCTTCAACAAAAGTTGAGCGGTCGACGTTTAGAAATAACAAGAGACCTGGAAGCACTTACGGGACAAAGCGGGAAATCGCTGAACGAATATTTTGAAGAAGACGAAGTACGCGATGCCTTCTTATCTAGCCATAAAAATGGTGAATTGTCTTCATTCAAAGTAGCTTAATTGAACCAAAAGCCCAGGTCTTATCATCATATATACATATCACACACTTTCTTCACATACTTTTATTGTACATAAACTTTTTCAAATAAACAATTATCAAGTTACACATTCATCGTAACACAACCAACCAATACTAATAATTTGACATACGATGTAGTTGCAATAAACATCCATTGGCCAAAGATAAAAAGAAACTTAAAAAGGTCAGCTGAATGTGTATATTTGAGGCAAATGACCAAATATATTAACTGATAAGAAAGAATGAGGGGGCATCAACATTAGAGCTCTTTTTTTTAAGTTTTTGTGTATCGTTTGACTTTCTAATAAAGTGTCTTTATGTAATGATAGTTAGCTGTAATGCCGATGTTATACATAGGGGTTAAAATGGTTACTTTCTCACACAAATTGTCTCTTAAAATTGTTAACGGCTTGATTAAATTTTGCTCTCGATTGGTACATCATCAACTTTTTCAGAATGTGTCATCAATGAATAATACATATTGTCATTGGTTCTTTCATCAAATCAATTCCGTTGCAACCTTGCTCATTTAACTTATGTTAGATCCATTTGAATTGTTCACCCACGACAATCTTTTTGTGCTATTAAAGTTCTGATTTTCTCAGGCATATGTAAAAATCCAATGAGTAAATCCAATGAAATGAATATGATTAAAGTTATCGATGTATCATCGGCTGAAAAAGCGCTTATCTTCAGGCAAAATATAAAGCAAATAACTATACGCAGCATACCATGTTGGTTCAATTTCCATTACAACTTAATAGGCATTATGACCTCAGAAACAAAGCAAAAGAAAAAAAAAGCCTTATAAAGGTCTCACGGAAATGATATAAATTCAAAAAATTAAGCCGAACGGGGGGGTCGAACCCCCAACCTTGAGATTAAGAGTCTCACGCTCTACCGATTGAGCTAGCCCGGCAATTCTTATTTTTGGCAGTTTAAAAATTAAATACTAAGTGATTAGTAAAAATAAAATAGAACAACAACACGTGATATAAACTTTGCAATGCTCGGGCAAAAGTTGGAATAAAGATGGCGTTTATTCTTTTGTGTTTTAGTTGATATTAATAATAAGTAAAAGGGTTACACGCAAAGTCTATCTGTACCTCACACTCTAAATCATACGTCTCCGCACGACAATACACATAGACTCACATAAAAGTTATGCAGGTCTGAAAACGTCTCACTTTATTTTGAAACAAAAATTTGTGCGTATACGGGGAATCGAACCCCGGTCGCCCGCTTGGAAGGCGAGCATTCTGCCACTAAACTAGACACGCGTTCTTACGTTGTAACTAGACCTTTCTTTCACTTTTCCAATTTTTTATTACGTTTTGACCTCAGAATTCAGGTACACGTGATATTAATATTAGACAAGGAAATCCATAGCAGTAAACAGCCAAAGCAACAACCGTCAATAGAATATACATTAAGTGTTAATATCTTAAAGTATATTCTGTTCAACTTTCAAAACGATTGATCAAGTATTTACCTGTTTTACAAAAAACCCCAAAAACACCGCAAATATTTTTTCACTCGATCATCTAGCAACCGGTAAACAGACCATGGAGCCAGAACCATCCACTCTTATGTCGCAACTAGATTTGCAGACGTTAGTCATCAGTATGCAGAAGGATATTTCTGTTCACCGTACCGCCCTGGAAGAGTTGAACACTCTTAAAAGTGCCATTTTAGATCTGAAAAACAAAAATTTTTCTTTGACTCAAGAAAATGCCAGTCTTCGTCAACAGATTGCCGATCTTACTGCTTCCCCTTCAGCTGTCAAACATAACCCAGCTTCCTTTGCAACCAATCAGCAGCCGCAGCACAGCAAGGCAGCAACTGGCACCCCCAAGACCACCTCCACTTGGACTGAAATTGTCCAGAAGAAGCACAGATCAAGAAAGATCAAAGCTCCCTCTGAGGTGACTGAAAAGCACCGTCAGGCTATTACCCGTGGCTTTAATGCCCAAGCAGACGGACCTAAGGGCTATGAATGCCTTTATATCAACCGTTCTCGCCGCTTCACCAGAACTGAAGTTCGCAACAACTTGCACCTCATCGGTGCAGAGGCATCTCGCATCATTGATGTTACCTTCCCCGCTCGCAACGTTATTGGCATTCTGATCCATGTCCAATACAAGGAAACCCTTCTGGACCTGTTGTCCAAGAACAAAGTTGCAGTTGTGGCCAACTTTGACCCTGTTGACCCGCAGCACGTTGCTGATCCCAAGTACCGTGAGCTCTCAATCTCAAAGCGCGAGGATATTGCCTTTGAGTTGCAGATCAAGCGCTGCACACAGTCCCTCCGTTACTTGGCATCTCGCCGTTCCCGTCTCTTTGCCTCTGTCGCTGCTTACTTTCAGACTGCAGGTTGGATTACCTCTGAAGACATTGAAGCCTTGGCCCCTGAGGAGGGTCTCTTTGGCTACCGTCGCCCCGTGGATGGCGATGCTGCCATGCATGACTCCGAAGTGGAAATGTTATAATGATTGAGTGTGAACTCAATCATTATAACCCAACCATGTCTCCCAACATCACTGCTACAACTACTACTACTCCAACTACATTCCTTAATAACAATAATCCTACAACTCCTCCCGGCCTTTCGGCCACCATCATTAATAGCGCCTCCCTCACCCCACTCACAATTGGTCTCTGGAACGCTCGCGGTCTTAGAGACACAACAATTGATGATGTCCTCCGATACTGCCAATCCTTTTCAGTTCTCTTTATTACGGAAACATGGCTACATCGTCTTCCGGTCCATATACCCACAACCTGGCAGCAATTCCACTTGCCTGGAATTCCTGTCGCTGGTGGCGGTCGAGGCTCAAGAGGCATTTCTTGCCTGATCAACCCCTCTTGCCCTCTTACCGCGTTCCAAACACCTCTGCCCTCTGCCTTGCATGAATTCGCACTTGGGATTCAACTGGGTCGTGAGCTTCGGCTCATCTGCCTGTATATACCGCCTGAACAGGCTGGTCTCTATACAGCTGAGGTCTCTGCTATCTTGAATGCGATCCCTCTGGATCACGATACTATTATCTGCGGTGATCTTAACGCTAGAATGGGTGCATTTGTTGGTGATTATGCCACCAATTCCCGTGGCAACCTTTTGCAAGAATACTGTGCTGACAACGAGTTAAATGTTCTGAACTGCCAGTTAGCCCACGGCACACCTACTCTAGAGGATCGTCGTCGTGGGCAGAATGTAAGTAGCATTGTCGATTACTACATTACGAATGTAGCGTCATTGTCTTCTGCCTCTCTGGGTACCTCATCTTTATCTCTTTCATCCCCAAAAATTAGTATTTGCTCTGATTTGTCCCTGGGATCTGACCACAAACTGATGTCGTTGTCTTTTGACTATCACTCTGTTGACGCTGCTCCTCCTCGACAAGTGACTTCCTCACCTCGGATCCTCTGGAAGCTCTCTCGTCTGCAGGAACTGGACATCCACAACCTATATGTTCAAAAGTTTGAATCTTTGTCGGCGCCTCTGTTGGCGAAATTGATCGCCCTTGTCAATTCCCCTCCCGATACCATGCCTCCCATTGACTCCCTCAACAGCCAGCTGAATCAATGCATTTACGATGCCCTCGATGCCTCGGCCACGCGCCAGACACAGCGCTCATCTAACTGGAAAAAGTTCTGGACGCCTGATCTTCAACGGCTAGCAGATCATCGCGAATCGATGTATCGCCGATACCGTCATTGTCCACGTTCCCTCGACAAGGCGTATTTTTGGCAACAGCATCAACAAGCTCATCAACAATTCAAACAGGC